TTGTTTGTTAGACCTTAAATTTGGGAACTGTCCTGATTTCTATTTTCTATCGAATGTACAGTATAAGACTATAAGTTGTTTTTGGGATTGTACCGGCCTTTTGCCCACTGTTCATTCCACAACGGAAATCGTGAGTCATAACCTGACCTACCATTAGTTGGCAATCTAAAGATTCAAAATTCTAATTATGATAAATTTTAGCTCTCCTCCACCATCAAAATCAATGTGATAAGTAATAATGCACACGACCTGACCTACCATTAGTTGGCAATCTAAAGATTCAAAATTCTAATTATGATAAATTTTAGCTCTCCTCCACCATCAAAATCAATGTGATAAGTAATAATGCATGTCCCAATGAAAGTTCAGGCGGAGGATTATGATGTTTCACCTCTCCTTTGTACCTAACTAGGGTCCTAAATGATTCAAGCTGCTTGTGAATTGACAAATGTAAATGATTCAAGTGACAAATGTTAAAGGTACCCAAAAATGTGATACTCATTCTTACTTCGGTCTAATGTGTTGAGCAACACGATTAAGTGGGGTACCATTTAGATGTGTTGCCGCACTTATGGCCACACATTTATGCGTAAGCCGCTTGATAACAACTCGACACGAGTTTGGTCAATTTTGAATTCGAGCCATCTCCTAAAGCAACCAAGTTGAGGCCAAGCTTAATTCCTTTTAACTCGTGAACTTCCGAGCGGTCTCGCGAAGAATAACACACACACACACACACACACACACATATATATATATATATATATATATATATGCACACACACACAATTTATTTATTTATTTATTTCAAAATTTAATTAATAGTAAAATAAGGAGTGAAAATACACCGAACGAGAGAGGAATTCAAAAAAACAAGGACGATAAATTACAAAGGTAAAAGATACAAATATACCCCTGTAGTATGGGTGTGAGAACAAATATACTTGTGTTCTATTTTTCGGAACAAATATACCCCTGAAGGCCTGAAGTATATGTAGAAGTGCATATATACCCCTAAACTTTTTAAAAGCTGCAAAAATACCCCTTATATTTTTATAAAGGAGCAAATATGCCCTTATTAACTTTAAATTGATAAAAAAAAATTCAAAAAACACCAAAGATAAATTATAAATTCAAAATTAAAAAACACAAAATTTTAAAAATGTACTTGTGTCCAATTCTCCCATTTATTGTTTGTGTATGACATTTTAATATCGTTAGTATAAAATATTATTTCAAAACTTTACTACGAGTATATATTTAAGATTCTTTCGAAAAAAGTGTTAACATATGTGTTCCAATGTAAAAAAATATTAATTTTTTGCATTCTTTGCACTATAAAATTACATACTCCCTCCGTCCCTTAAAGTTTGTCCTAGTTTGACTTCACATGTTTTAAGGAGATGAATTTGACTTTACAACGATGTTTCACACTGTAGCGACACTGTTTGACACTGTTTTGCACTGTTTGACACTGTTTGGTATAAATTTGTTTACCAAATAAGGACGTTTAAAAAGTAGGACAAACATTTTGGGACATCCGTTTCGGGAAAGTGTGACAAACTTTAAGGGACGGAGGGAGTATTTTGTATGATGATAAATAGTTCAAGATTAAAAATAGTGAATGCTATTATATTAAGGTTTAAAAAAATCAAAGAATGTTATTTCAAAAATATAACTATGTGTTCAAAATTTCACAACAAGACTAAAATTAATATTTATGAATTTGAAGTGCTTCATTTACAACGGAAAAATAGTAATTTTGCAGTTTAAAATTAAAGAGTTAATATTTTAACATAATAATAAATCTTCATTTTTAAATTTCGAATTTATATTTTCTTTTTTTATGTTTTATGAAATTTATTTTATCTATCTAAAAGTTCAGGGGTATATATGCACTTCAACATATACTTCAGGGTATTTACCAAATTAAAGGGGTATATTTCTACCTTTTCCCAATTACAAATACTAGATATTACAGAGTATTTATTTGTATGTATAAAAATAATATTAACAATTTTGGAAATAGAAATTATATTTTAGCTTGAATTCAAGCTTGAGTTCGAGCATCCTATTTGAGGTTAAACCTATAAATTTTAATTAGCAAAACACGAACCTAGCTCGAATTGAGCTCGATCAAAATTATTAAGATCGTTCGAGTTCAAGTCAGTGCATTCTTATCAAGCTCAAACTCATGTATAAACAAGTTCGAGCTCGACTCGACTCATTTACGCCCTCAATTTGTACCTCCTCTTATTTCGACCACAATGGTGTCGTGGTGCTAGGTAGGGTAATAAAGATGGTTTTAACTTTTAAGATTTATGATTATGTTGTTATTAGTCTTGGTAGCATGATCGAATAATCAAACCAAAGCTGCACGAATGCTTACAATTGTCAATCACAAACAATTGGTATGCTCGCTCGTATACGGAACTGCTTGTGGGCACACACCAGAGTTGTCTCTCGTGTGTGCTCATTGACATTAAATATTGTGCCAAAGTACATCGGCAATTGTCTAAAAGATGCAGATATCAATGTGGGTGTGCAAATCATTCTATGTATACGTAGTGTTTGCATGCACATGTAATAATTTTTTGTGCACAGACAATAGTTTTCTATGACCAAAGTATGAACTTTCCAAATAAATTTTATCACATTGATAATACGTGTGCCACTAAAAGACAATAGTTGTTTGTCCGATCAATTTTAATTATTTGTATGATCAACTCTAGTGGTTTATATTATTAACTTCAATTGTATGTGTGAATAAAATATGTGTGATCATTTTAGTGTTTTACCTAGACTTTAAAAAAAATCAAAAAATAGTAAAAAAGATGGAGAAATGGAAAGAGATGGATTTTGTGCATGTAAAAAATAGATATGAAAAGGTAAAGAAAACGAGAATGTCAAAGAAAAGAGGACGATGGTGAATAGAAATGGAGATATCAGAAAGAGAAATGGATAAGGAATGAGTAGAATTGAAAGAAGTGAGTGGAGAAAAAAACTAAACATCTTTACAAACAATTTTGTCAAAAAGTGTACGCATTTGTATTTTTTTTGTCCAAGTAAGACTAAAAGAATAATAAGGTGTAAGGGGTGTACAAATAGAATTTTTGATTGAATTATTATGAGTAGGGAAAACTGTCAAATAAGTCCACCTACTTTTAATAAAAAGTCAATTAAGTCCATATACATTTTATCGATTCAATCAAGTCAATGAAGTAATACAAAACGACCAAATCAGCCATTTAACCGGTAAACCATCTGTTACCCGATCAAACGCTGACATGGATGTTCCACATGGCATTGTTTTACTGTTTTCGTATTTTTTATATTTTTTTTGTTATCAGCTTTGTTCTTGGTCCGCTCATCTCCTATCCAGGTCTCCTCCCCCAAGCTTGTTAGCTTTTCTGTTTTTTCAATTTGGACCACCTCCCATCTTTTAATTTCACCATTTTTACCACCTCTGCCACCTCTAACTAGACCGATCTCCGCCACCTCCGACTGGACCGACCTTCGCCACACCTACCTTCATAGCCACCACCTCCGCTGTGGGTCTGGCCTCCATAGCCACCGCCCCCGTCCTCTACCTCATCTCCGCAGGCCCTTAACCCCTACCTCCACACACAGCCTCCGGTCTACACCTTCGCCTCCTCCGACTTCCAACCGCCTCCTCCGGCCAAAACCTCCGTCGCCCCTACCTGCGTTCAAACCACCTCCGACCACCACTACTGTGGTCTCCACCATCGCCTCTTGCATTGGAGTGACCTCCAACCTCCATCCCCCTCCGTTCCTACCTCCATAGGGCATAGCTACAACCTCCGCCGTCCCTACCGCCATATTCACTGCCTGCACGGCCCCTCTAACTCCGCCGCCCCAACATCCATAGACTGATGCATGAGTGCATCTGCTAAGGAGTAGGGAGAAACCAAACGAGAAGGGAAACTCAAGCTGGGGTTGCCGTACAAGCAGAAGGAACTAAGGAAAGAGAAAACAAAATGAAATAGAAAATAAATAAGAAAAGAGAAACAAGAGTTAAAAAAATAGTAAAAATAAGCCACGTGGACGATATAACCGGAAACTGTTTGCTTACCGGTTAAATGTCCAATTTGACCATTTTTTGACAATTTGAGGACTTAATTGATCCATTTTATAGTATGGCTATGTTTGGCAGGCACAAGTCTCTGCCTTCTAGCTTTTGTACTATTTTAAAAGTCCTTAAAAGCTTCTAGTTGTATGTTTGGTATGACAGTTTTTAAGAGCTTTTCAAAAAATAAAAGATTTTTTTGAGATGCTACAGGGAGTAGCATCCGATAAAAGTCTGAGACTTTTAGCATTAATTAGTCTCAACAGCTTGTATACCAAACATAACTAATGAGATGTTTGGAACTAATTCTGATTATGCTTCTTTTTTAAAGCAGAAGCAGAATCAGAATCAGTTTTCAGAAGCTGGTCACCCCCAGTTTCTAAAAAAACTGATTTGGAGTAAATTAGAGCACCAGAATCATTTCTGCACTTTCACCCAAACACCCCAACTTCTGCTTCTGCTCCCTCAAGGAGCAGAAGCAGTTTTAAGAATCAGATCCAAACACCCCCTAAACCAAACAGTCAGCTTTTTACCAAACAGCTACTACCTATTACTTTTAAGATCTTTTCAGACTGTAAACGTATCTTTTCAGCTAATTGTGTCAAACATAGCCTATGTGAACTCAATTGGCTTTTTAGTAAAACTAGATAGAATTATTTTACGGTTTCCCTTATGAATACTTCCTTCGTTTCTTAAAACTTTGTCATCTTTCATTTTTGGGACGTCCCAAAAAACTTTGTCACTTTCCCTTTTAATCAATTATTTTGTTGTTTTTGTTATTTCTCTCTCCTCTGCACAAACCTAAACAACACAGTTTTTACTTTATTATTCCACGTGGCGGTCAACTTTGGAAAAGTTTCAAGGGATGGAGGTAGTATAAAATTCATGGAATGAGAAGTTGTGATATAAAGGAGCGGGTGGTGTGAGCTTTGAATTGAGTGACTGAAGAAGAGAGTAAAAATCGGAAGGAAATGGAAGAGCCACTGTTGGTGGTGTGCGTGAGAAATGAAGAAGGGGGGCCGGGCGAAGCTCATCATCAGGCTCTCAGGTCGAACTTCTTCTCTAAATTGCCTGAGAAGCTCCGAGAAGGCCTTCATCCTCAAACCCCCTTTCATCTCGATCTCTCTAAAACCTCCGGCTTATTCCAAGGGGAGAAAGAATACTACGAAAAACAAATTGCGACTTTGAAGTCCTTCGAAGAAGTTGATTCCCTGGGCTGCTCTCATTATAATGATGGTGACGACGAAGATGAGCGGCGGGACAGATCAGAAGAGGGTCAGCACGAAAGGGCCATCAACATCTCCAATTCCGCAAACATCTTTTTGCTTGCTTTTAAGGTCGCTCACTTTTTGAACATGTTCTTTATTTGTACCGGGTCTTTCACCTCTCCAAGTTTAAAACCACTTTTGCAGGTTTATGCCACCGTGCAGAGCGGATCCCTAGCAATCGCAGCGTCCACACTGGATTCTTTGCTCGATTTGATGGCAGGTGGCATCCTGTGGTTCACACACGTGTCAATGAAGAATATTAACATTTACAAGTACCCCATTGGAAAGTTGAGAGTCCAACCAGTGGGCATTATAATCTTTGCTGCAGTCATGGCTACTCTAGGTACCCTTTTTTGTTCCATTACTAGTCTAGTCTAGACTAGCTCCAAATAAATATCCATATGTAATTCACAATAACAAAAATATAGTTTGAAGTCAGATGATGGTGGAAGCTGGTGCTGCAACTTAGTTAGGCCAGGACATGTCCTTCTTTGCAAGAATATATATAATAATGCATTATCATGTCAACACATAAAACAAACAAAATGTGATTTCAGCTGGAGCAAAAAATGTGGATCAAATATCAAAGATTATATTCAAATCATTAATGTGTTTGTGCAGGATTTCAAGTGCTGGTGGAAGGAGTGGAACAACTGATTAAAAATGAGGCACCACATAAAATGAGTTCACAACAATTGTTTTGGCTGTATACGATCATGCTGGCCGCTACTGTCATAAAACTTATGCTGTGGCTTTATTGCAGAAGCTCTGGAAACAAGATTGTGCGAGCATATGCTAAGGTCCGTTTTCACATCCACATATAATAATTGATTCAATATGCATGCGACCTGCCTTAACCACAACCTCAACTCAGGATGATGATATGCTTTTACACGGCCCCAAACTGTTTTCCGCTTTTGAACTAGAACAGTACCCGGGAGCCAACCAGTTCCGGTTCCTCTCAAATACGACTGAATCGACCAGTTCACTCACATATAGCCCGAATGGGGTCACTTACTCTAAAAACAGTCGACAGAAATAGACAAGAATCTCAATCGTTGAATTCAGATGTTGTTGTAAAAAAGTTTCATGTTGTAAATACTCCACAAAATCCCATATTATATCTTTACATCAAGTTTTAGTACAACCTCATCGAAACCAAAGGCCGACATTATATGTGTGCGTGGGGAGGGTTCAGATACAAAAATGTCTTTCTATGCAAATTGAGAATAAGTCTTGTCCATTCATTTTCGCATTTAATGGCTCAAAATGAGACAACAATGCATTACATTTGGTCAAAAACGCGGTGGCGATTTGTAAATAAACCGAAATTTTCTGTCACCGCGAAAAAGTGCAACAGAAAAATGCAATAATGAAACGCGATGAGGAAAAAGTGCAACAGTTCTCACTGCACAGAAGTAACTCTTTTTATTTGAACTATCCCCTATAGTCAAAAAGTACACATGCAGAATACAAAAGTGCAATACGGTACAAAATAAAAAGTACGCAAGTTACAAAAATTTGACAATCTTTTTAATACCTATGAGTACACTTTTGATCATTAACTATCCACTTTGTTGTATAATCACTTGCACATGTTTTGACCACGTCTCTTGTGATTAAATTTCATTCATCTAATCCATCCATTTTCAAGTGATTAAAGATCAAGATTTGTTCTCACTTTTCATGGAAAGACTACTTTTATTTGAATCGACTGACGAGCACTTTGTCGTAGTGCGTCAAAATAAATTGACTAATAAGGGTTAATAACGTAGTATAGCGTAGTAGAGTTCGTATGCACAGGGAAAAGAGTAATTCTTTTTTTATGAACTAGTAAATAAAAGGGGGGTTTTGGGATTGAGTGATTTAATTTAATTAAACACTAAGATGAACGACTTATATGAGTTTTAATTCAAAGATAAAAGAGACTTGACTTTGCTACTTTTCATTTGTTGATATATTTAGTCGATCCTTGTTATTATCTATAACTTATCCCCTCTCGAATACTCAATCGATGAGTATCTCCAATTCATTGAGGGTAGTTATTAACAACGATCGTTCATTAATAACCCTTACTATTAATCAAATATAAAACAACGCCTTATACCGATTTAATAGTAGCATTTAATCTTTCTAACTCCTTGATGAAATCAATTGAGATTAATAACTTCAACACGACGGTTGCGATTTAACCAACAAAATTAATCTCTCTTAAGTTTATTAACCATGACCGTGCATTAATAAACCGAAATTACTTACTTGTAAAACCATCTACGATTAACTATTGGTTCGTTGATCGTTTCTAGTAATAATTAATATTGAGATGTTAACTAATTGTCATGTTAGCAACACTCCCCAACATTATTATAGAGATAGATAGATTAAGGGAAGAATTAATATTCAAGGAGAAAAGTTAAGAAAATAACTCACAACTTTAATAATCAACAAGTTTGAAGAGCAAAATCAAGAAATGGAAGTTTAGCTCCTCATCTGGATACTAAACATTGCTAGAAAAATATAAAGTAATGTTATTCTATACCGAGCTTAAGTATATGGAAGAAGGGATGATTGAAAGTGAAGGAAAATGGGGTTATTTATAGGTGGGTATTTGACATACCCGACCGGGTATTAGTCAAATCAAATCTTTTTCCCACGTTCTTGTGTTCTTCTGCACGACTTTTTGTCCGAAATCACTTCATACCCGATCGGGTATATGGAATACGCGACCGGGTATTTGCTAGTTTCGCAGCAATTTCCTTTTTCACTTCATACCCAGTAGGGTAAAGGCCATACCCAACCGCGTTTTGCATAAAACTCAGGTTCCTTCATCCTTTTTGCTTCCAAACTTCTCCTAAACTTATTGCCTAACTAACTACTTCTTACAACATACAATTAAATGCTAAAAATACAATTACAATCAAATTAAACTAATGGCTACAAACTTCCACAATAATAGCAAATAATCATCACAAACAATAATAAAAATGTATACTCATGCACTAACAACTAGTGTCTATCATCGACCCATATATATATATATACACACACACACACACAGAGAGAGAAATCTTCCGGTCAGGCCTTCCTGATAGGATCCGCCGTCCGGACAGCGGCGTTTGGGGCCCTTCCTGGTCGAAATTTTTGATGAAATGTTGATGACACGTTCTTCATCAAGTCTAGTTCATCCACAAAAAATGTCAGCTAAAAATTCAATAGGGAATGCAGTCAAACAATTTTTGGAAGATAATTGTGCCCTTTATATACATATAAAACGCAGTTATCTTCCAAAAGGTGTTTGACTTTCTTCCCGATAGAACTTTTAGCTGAATTTTTGTGTGAATAAACTAGACTTGATGAAGAACATGACATAAAAATTTCATCAAAAAATATCATCGGGAAAGGGGCCAAACGCGATCGTTCGGACGGCGGTTCCTGTTTGGAATTCTGGACATGAACTTTTTCTCTCTCTTTATATATATATGACAAATATTTTTCGAAGGTATTACTTGACAGGAGCGTTGTCTGGCAACCTCAAGTTGATAAAATTTTGTGAGCATGTTCTTCATTAACGATAAATTATGTTCTCAAAGTTTCAACTCAAAATTCAACCAGGAAGTCTGTTTCATAAATTATAGGAAAAAAATTGTGTTTGATATATTTTTGGCGCATTTTTTTATAAATAATTTAACTGAATTTATAATTAAATTTTAAGCTGAAATATTGTGTACATAGTTTATACTTCATGAAGAACATATTCATAAAATTTCATTATATATATATATATATATATGTATGTATATATATATATATTGGTTGAGGTGAGAAATGCATTTAATGCGAACAATGAGAATGAATTTCGATTTCTCAAAAAAGTTGAGAATGAATTTCGGTTGTTGGATTTACGATTTTGCACTATAAATAGGTTCATATTACATGCAATATGATTTAAATTGAGTGATGTTGCAATAATATAATTTCATATTGCAATAAGATTTGCATTAAAACAGTTTTATATTGAACAAGAGAGGTGTAACACATATTTTTTAAAGTATTTACGAAAATGTCACCGCACATTGTTTAATTTTTCGGTGCAACATGAAGTTATTTTAATGCACCGTAGTCAAATCTAATGGATGAGATTAACCCTCATTTCTCAACTAAAGGTTCTATCTTATTAGAACATCACCATATATATGTGTGTGTGATCACCTGGGAAGGATATCTTAAGAAAGAAATGAGAATGAATTTAGAGTGTTGAAATTGAGAGTTGCGCATTATATTATTTGAAATCGATACGTGCATTGCCATGGATGAAAAATGTCACAACGTTTATGTAAATAAAGTGTGTTTTTCTATTGTTGCACAATGTGCATTATCTCAACTAGAAATGTGCAATTGCATGAACCCGAATTTGCAGCATTCCCATTTCTCATGAGAAGAACCTTTCTCACTGGAGTCAACTTATTTGTGTGTGTATAAACCAAATCAAACCAAACCAGGATCGAGAAGAAAAGAACCATGAGCTGTGTCTTGTTCGTAACTATACCTGTTAATGGTTCTAGTTATTGCTCCTACCATTAGGAAGATTACTTAGCGGATTCCGAAATAGACCTAAATTGACCAGTTTCTAATACAACTGATTGGGCTAAACTTGCACATATATAAGGGCTAATTTTAGTAATAAAAGTTGGTAGAATGCCGAGTCAATTCATAAAAAACCTTTGTATTATGAATTTCGGGATATTAATTTTAAAGTTTAGAAATGATAGAAATTGCAAAGATTTTGTTTTGATTATAAACTCAAGCTAGAGAAGAAGAAGATTAAGAATTACCAAAGCATCTGGATTTATCTAAACGAATTACTAGAGTTTAATACTAGTTCTTTGTCAATTTTTTTGAATATGATGTTACTAATATATCCACGGTCCGATTAAGGCATCGGGAATGTGGCTTTCGCTACTTATAAATCATGTTACGGCCAAAATTTATCTAGAAACAATCTTGTTGAGTATCAATACAACACACGTGCACCATACAAGATTAGATATATTTCTATTCTCGATATTTATGTTTTATCTTATAGTGCTGATAATTTAGATTTCAAAATTAATTGCAAGTATAAATTAAATTTAAAATACTTTTATGTTGTAAACTATAATCCATAATCCAAATGTAAATGATAAATTAAGATTTTTTATAAAAAATTAGCAAGAGTAATTCATCTCGAGCCTTAATTTAATTTGTTTAGAGCCGGTAGCTTAGAAATTAAACGAGGTATATATACCAGCATATAAGTCATAACACACCAATTCAAATTTTATATGTTTGGAAAGGAAGTTTTTTGTCGTCCAAATAGTATGTCAACATAGTATAAGCCGTTCCTTTCCAATGTACGGAGTATGAGTATCAAATAAACATAGTTATGACATGTCGTAACAAAAAACACAAATTTTATGTCAATCAAGGATGTTGGCATGAATGTTTGAGATAGTACATAACAAGTTTAAACCAACGGATATTCCAAAAAAAAAAAATCAGATAATGCTAATTCTTGGGAATTTCAATATATAATACTCTATATATATAGGACCATTACTTTGACGTGGTAACAAATGTTGTTGGGGTGGTTGCTGCCGTACTTGGTGATAGATTTTATTGGTGGATTGATCCCGCGGGAGCAATAGGCCTTGCTGTCTATACAATTACCAATTGGTCAGCGACTGTCCTGGAAAACGCAGGTATTCTTCTTCGATTCTTCTTCAAAAGCTAGCTAGCTCAGGGCCCTTTTATATATATATATATATATATATATATATATATATATATATATATATATATATATATATATATATATATATATATATATATATAGCTGCGGCGTTACGTTTATACAATACCATACCACTTTTGTTGCGCGCATGCAGTTTCACTAGTTGGACAATCAGCTTCACCACAGTTTCTACAGAAGCTAACATATATGGTCTTGAGGCACGACCCCAGAATAAAACGAGTTGACACAGTCCGAGCCTACACATTTGGTGCTCTCTACTTCGTTGAGGTATCAATATATGATTTCAGCTATAACTGAACTGCGTGAATATATATGCCGCCCTAGCTATTAGCTGGCCAGTGGTCATGCCAACTGGTCTGGTTTTTTTTTGAGACAGAAATATCATTGACATACATCAAAACCATTAATTTTCTTATGGAAACTAGCTAGCTAGCTAATAATGAAAAATGAAAGAATTAAGATAAAATGGGCCGGGAAAGATCGAATTTGCTTGTGATGAATTTTGAATCTCTGAATGTAGGTGGACATAGAGCTCCCAGAAGAGTTGCCACTCATTGAAGCGCACGCGATAGGAGAGTCGTTGCAGATAAAAATTGAAGAGTTAACAGAAGTGGAGCGCGCATTTGTTCATCTGGATTATGAGTGTCACCACAAGCCAGAACACTCAGTTTTGAGTAAAATCCCCGACAATAATCCTTGTGTGTGTACGCATATATGAATGAATGATAGTCCACAAGACTCACACACCACCTATCATTTATTTGAAGCTGCTAGCTGAGAAATAATTAATAATACTTTAA